AAAAAAAAAAAAAAAAAAAAGAATCCATTGAAATTGATAATATTTAAAATCTAAATGCTAATCTTATTTTGGCTTCCCAAATATATTCATATATGTGTTCTTTAAACCACAAATGAGAGGCCAGGCATGGTGGTTTATGCCTGTAATCCCAGCACTTTGGGAGGCTGAGGCAGGTGGATCACTTGAGCTCAGGAGTTCAAGATCAACCTGGGCAACACAGCAAAATCCTGTCTCTACAAAAATACAAAACAAACAAAAAATTAGCCAGTTGTGGTGACATGCACCTATAGTCCAAGCTACTCGGGAGGCTGACATGGAAGGAACACTTGAGTCCAGGAAGCAGAGGTTGCAGTGACCTAGGATCGTGCCACTGCACTCCAGCCTGGGCAACAGAGCCAGACTCTGTCTCAAATAATTAAAAATAAAAATAAATAAATAAATCACAATGAATACAGGTATAATTTTGAACAGCTTAAAAATAATCCCAAATTTCAATTTTTACGTATGAATCTAGAATTCAAGTAATAGATGGAAATAAGTATGTAAGAAATCAGACATATCCCTGCAAAATTAGAATAGAGACAACCTGAAGGAAATGTTGCTATCAAGGAACAATGAAATCAGTGAATGGACTTACCTTCCCTGAAGCAGAAGTTTGTATCAGTGCATCAGATTGCTCTGGGTGGCAGTATGCTGGCAATCCATTGCTTTAGTCTTGATACCTTAGGACTTCCCTCTTCCTCTACTGGGTTCCACTCTTAGCTCTAACCCACCCACTAACATGGTTTGTGGCAGGGCTTTTAAAAATATCAGTTCAGGGTTCTAATAACATGATTTTTAGTTGCTCAATACAGAGATACCACATAGCAGGCCTACCTTTGTATCACCTGGGTTCAGTTTAGCAAGCACATAACAGATGCACTGAGAGCTGAACCAACTCACAGCTCTCAAGAGACTGCTCTGAAGGTGGCGTTTCCAATATAGTGAGAGTAATCTACACTGACACTTAGGTCAGATAAGAAACTCCTTCATTTGCCAGAAAAAGTTGCCCATTACTTGTCCCCACTCCAATCTCCTCTCCACTTTATGCCGTATGTTTCAACCATTCCGATCTATTCTGTGGTCTGAATGAGCTGGCCTCGTTCATATATCTGTATATGTTTTCATGCCATTTTTTCCCTCTGCCTATGATGCACATTCTTGAGTCCTTCTACAACATCTGAAAAACTCCTTCTGATTCTTCAAGATCCAGGATCTCTGTAAAGCCCGTTCCAACCTTCTCAAAATAGGGCCACTGAAACCTTACTCTATCTTGTATACACTTCTATGACAGACTTAAGGCATTATTATTAATAGTAACAGTAGCTAACAGTGCAAAACTTTATTCTAAGCATTTCAATACTATTAATCCATTTAATCTTCTCAGTACCCATGGGGTGAGTATACTATTCAAACATTTTATAGATAAGGAAATGGAGGCACAGAAGGGTCAATTACAGCACAACTATTTGCTTTATACACATTACTTATCAGACTATGAATTGCTCAAAGACAGAGATTATAACTTACCTGTTATTGGGTGATATGGTTTGACCCATATCACCCAACTCTCATCTTCAATCGTAATTCCCATAATTCCCATAATTCCCATGTGTGGTGGGAGGGACCTGATAGGAGGTAACTGAATCATGGGGGTGGTTCCTCCATGCTATTCTCATGATAGTAAGTTCTCACGAGATCTGATGGTTTTATAAGGGGCTTCCCCCTTCACCTGGCTCTCATTCTTCCTCTTCCTGACACCATGTGAAGAAGGAAGTGTTTGCTTCCTCTCCTGCCATGATTGTAAGTTTCCTGTGGCCTATCAAGCCCTGAGGAATTGTGAGTCAATTAAATCACTTTCCTTTTTAAACTACCTAGTCTCGGGCCAGGTGCAATGGCTCATGCCTGTAATCCTAGCAATTTGGGAGGCTGAAGCAGGTGGATCACCTGAGGTCAGTAGTTCAAGACCAGCCTGGGCAATGTGATGAAACCCTGTCTCTACAAAAAATACAAAAATTAGTTGGGTGTGGTGGTACACACCTGTAATCCCAGCTATTCGGAGGCTCACGAGAATCACCTGAACCTAGGAGTTGGAGCTTGTAGTGAGCCGAAATCACACCATTACACTCCAGCCTGGGGGACACAGTGAGACTCTGTATCAAAAAAAAAAATTTAAAAAAACCCCCCAGTTTCAGGTACGTCCTTACAGCAGCATGAGAACGGATTAATACACTGAGGTATAGCACAGAGCCTTACATATTGAATACTTATTCAATAAATATTTGAATGAATTAACAATTAAGGCCGGGCATGGTGACTCACGTCTATAATCCCAGCACTTTGGGAGGCCGAGGCGGGTGGATCACCTGAGGTCGGGAGTTCTAGACCAGCCTGACCAACATGGAGAAACCCCGTCTCTACTAAAACCACAAAATTATCAGGGCGTGGTGGCGCATGCCTGTAATCCCAGTTAACTCAGGAGGCTGAGGCAGGAGAATCACTTGAACCCAGGAGGCGGAGGTTACAGTGAGCCGAGATTGCACCATTGTACTCCAGCCTGGGCAACAAGAGCGAAACTCTGTCTTCAAAAAAAACAAAAACAAAAACAATTACAATGTATAATTGAGGCTGAACTCCTATTTCAAGTAAGGTTATTTAAAAAAACATAGAGTGTTCCGTCACTTTCAATCTAGGATGGAATAAAACTACTCTACCAAAAGGTTAGAATCTGAATACCACTTTCCTTCCCCCTCCCTACATACCTAATATGTTGGATTAACCCAAATTTGAAAAAGCAAAGTAATTTTGAAAAAATATTTGAAACAAGTGACCCTTAAACTATAATACAGACCATATGGCAGGTAGAATTAGGATACTGAAACTTTGCTATGAAAGTGTTATATGAGCCCGGGTGCAGTGGCTCACGCCTGTAATCCCAGCAATTTGGAAGGCCAATGCGGGCAGATCACCTGATGTCAAGAGTTCGAGTTCAGCCTGGCCAACATAGTGAAACCCCATCTTTACTAAAAAATACAAAAATTAGCCAGGCGTGGCGGCACACACCTATAGTCCCAGCTACTTGGAAGGCTAAGGCAAGAGAACTGCTTGAACCTGGGTGGTGGAGGTTGCAGTGTGCCGAGATCGCACCACTGCACTCCAGCCTGGGCAACAGAGCTAGACTCCATCTCAAAAAAAATAAAAAATAATAAAACAAAAGTGTTACATGAAATAAAAATTAACAGCTTAGTGACTAAAAGCATAGACATAGCTTCAGACAAATCTGTATCAAACTTATTGGCTATATAATCCTGCATGGGCAAGTTACTTAACTCAGTCTCAGTTTTCCTTTCCCTAAAATAGGGAGAGCAGTAGAATTTACACTACAGGGCAAATACTTAGTGCTTTGGTATGGGATAAGCCTTCAGTAAATTTTAGCTATTTTTTTTTTTTTTTTGAGACAGAGTCTTGCTCTGTCACCCAGGCTGGAATGCAGTGGCACGATCTCGGCTCACTGCAACCTCCACCTCCCAGGTACAAGCGATTCTCCTGCCTTAGCCTCCCGAGTAGCTGGGACTACAGCTGTCCACCATGCCTGGCTAATTTTTGTATTTTTAGTAGAGACGGGGTTTCACCATATTGGCCAGGCTGGTCTCGAACTCCTGACCTTGTGATCCACCTACCTTGGCCTCCCAAAGTGCTGGGATTACAGATGTGAGCCACGGCAACCGGCCAATTTTAGCTATTCTTAGTTTCATTCTTATTTTCCACTATGGAGCCTACCCACTGAGTTTAATTACTAATGTATAAAAAATTATTATAATTTAGCCAGGCACAGTGGCTCACGCCTGCAATCTCAACACTTTGGGAGGCTGAGGCAGGCAAATCACCTGAGGTCAGGAGTTCGAGATCAGCCTGACCAACATGCTGAAACCTACCTCTACTAAAAATACCAAAATTAGCCAGGCGTGGTGGCACGCGCCCGTAATCCCAGGTACTCAGGAGGCTGAGGCAGGAAAATCGCTTGAACCTGGGCGGTGGAAGTTACAGTGAGCTGACATTGCGCCATTGCACTTCAGCCTGGGTGACAGAGCAAGACTCCATCTCCAAAAAAAAAAAGAAAAAATTATAACTTTACTTCTTAGGGTGACTCCGTAACAAAGAATTTCCAAAATGATATTATAATAAGGCTTATATAAATCACAATATTAAAAATTCTTATTTACAAAAACACATCCTTACCTTGTTTGGTGAATAAATATCATCTTGAAATAGTTAGAAAAAGCAGCAAGCACCGCTCTGTGGGCTTTGAAGTAAACATCTCCAATTGCAACTGTGCAATCACACAGAAAACCAAATTCTCGCTGCATGTTCAGTTGTTGGAGAAGAACAAGGCTATGGCTGGCAGTGTCCATTGTGGTTCTGAAAAAACGACAAGATAAATATATATAGGTGTGTATTTATATACGCATTACTTTTTATTAACATAAAATTGTCTACAGTGCACACAAACCTACAAAGTTACAAGGAAACCTAAATTTAAATGAAATGATTCAAGTTTTCCATCCTATTACTTTCACTGCAAACACGGCTAACACTAAATTCCTCCATTATGCCAACTGATATAAACTCTGCTGAACCATAAAATATGACCCTTTTTCCTCTGATAAGAAGATAGCTTGGTATGAGTGACACACGAAGACAGACCTGTCCTTTTCCATCTATGTGAACACAATGTTTCTAATCTTGTTTCCTCATTAGAAAAATGAAAATGAGATACTGATTCCTGCCTCAGAGTTAAATGAGATAACTTATGTGAAAATCATGTTGTAATGGAAACTGCTACTTGATGTTAGCTATAAATGTTAATAACATAACAGGGTATCCTGGCTGAGCTAGAGATGTCACTCCTCCTCACGGATCTTCTGGTACTCAGGGGATACTGGCCTCCCACCTCTCATCAAATGTTTGGGGGACTTATCAGTCACAGTAGCTCAGGAACCCTTAAAATAGATGTCAAGCCACATCCCCAATTTACTTGTGGCCCAAGAGCCTCATGAGAAAGAACTTAAGCCGGTGCAGTGGCTCATGCCTGTAATCCCAGCACCTTGGGAAGATAAGGCTTGAGCCCAGGTATTCGAGACCAGCCTGAGCAATATAGTGAAACCTCATCTCCACAAAAAATAAAACAATTAGCTGGATATGGTGGCATGCACCTGTACTCCCAGCTACTTGGGGGGCTGAGGCAGGAGGATCACTTAAGCCTGGGAGGTCAAGGCTGCAGTGAGCTGTGATCATACCACTGCACTCCAGCCTGGGCAACAGTGAAACTGTCTCAAAAAAACAAAACAAAACAAAAAACCAAAAAAAAAAAAACAAACAAACAAAAAAGAAAGAACTTAAACCCTGATCTCATCTGGATTCAGATGCACATTAGAATGTAGGTTCCCAAAGGAAGTAGAAGGCAAGGTGGAACAACTGTCGGGGGAGCCTATATGAGGAAGAATATGCAGAATTCTGGCCGAGAAGCCGAGTATAAGCAGCAAAGACATTCAGAAGTGCCCTGGTTTCAGGCAGGTGCGAGACTATCTCATCTTCTCCACCCTACTGTGGAGAGAGCCCTGGTAGCTGTAGTATAAAGGGCATCACTGGGTGGCCAGGAGAACATCCTTTGAAAGAGCAGACACTGAAAAAAAGAATGAGGTTTCCACACCAGCCAGTTAGACCAAGGTCTAAGGAGGTCAGTGATGGAATGCGGGGTTAGCCGTCTGGAGACAGGCAGTGGCTTGGGCAGCAGACAGCTAAGTGATCAGTAATGTAATAAATATAGCTAACATTTTATAGTGCTTCCTATGTGTCAAAAATTAGCCAGGCATGGTGGTGCATGCCTTAGTCCCAGCTACTTGGGTGGCTGAGTCAGGAGGACAGCTTGAGCCAGGGAGATCGAGGCTACAGCGAGCCATGATCATGCCACTGCACTTCAGCCTGGGTGGCAGAGCGAGACCCTGTCTCAAAAAAAAAAAAAAAGCCGGGTACGGTGGCTCACGCCTGTAATCCCAGCACTTTGGGAGGCCGAGGCGGGCGGATCACGAGGTCAGGAGATCGAGATCATCCTGGCTAACACAGTGAAACCCCATCTCTACTAAAAATGCAAAAAATTAGCTGGGCATGGTGGCGGGTGCCTGTAGTCCCGGCTACTTGGGAGGCTGAGGCAGGAGAATGGCATGAACCCGGGAGGCAGAGCTTGCAGTGAGCCAAGATCGCGCCACTGTACTCTAGCCTGGATGATAGAGCGTGACTCCGTCTCAAAAAAAAAAAAAAAAAAGGTAGAATCTATTAAAACTACATATTTAATGTACTGATGTGGAATAATCCCCAAATTTTATTATTATTATTATTATTAGAGACGAAGTTTTGATCTTGTTGACCAGGCTGGAGTGCAATGGCTCCATCTCAGCTCACTGCAACCTCCGCCTCCCAGGTTTAAGTGAGTCTCCTGCCTAGCCTCCCAAGTAGCTGGCATTACAGGTGCCCGCCACCATGTCCAGCTAATTTTTGTATTTTTAGTAGAGATGTGATTTCACCATGTTGGCCACACTGGTCTCGAACTCCTGACCTCAGGTGATCTGCCCGCCTCGGCCTCCTAAAGTGCTAGCATTACAGGCATGAGCCACTGTGCCGAGCCTAACAAAATAAAAATCTATATTGACAATTTCAGCATGTAAAAAACGTGTCTTAGAATCAATGAAATGATTATTTTTTGAATAATAATCAATTTTTTGAAAAAACTGAAGTATCTTAAATTAGCCTGATAAATTGTCTCAAAAAACGAAAACAAAAACAAAAAAACATCAAACCCTCAGATCATAAACATTTTCACCAGTTCTTCCCATTATGTAGTATAATGAACTACTGAACCACAGGGAAATGAGACATAGCACACTAATAAGCCACCCATATGGGAATCTTATGGTTAATGGTCTATGGGTAATAGTTAAATTCTTCACTTATTCAACAGATTTTTTGAAGAATAATTTAATAAAGAAAAAATATGTAAAAGCGTGCATTGTACAAGGCATGGAGACAGAAAAAAATGACAGATGTTACACTCAAGATTACAGGCTCACAGGAAAGATAAAACATCAAACCATAATTATAATATGAAATAAATGCATTTAGTAGCATAGAGCAGTTAGAGAACATGCTATCAGAGGCAGACAAACACAGGCAACTCAATGGGAAAGAAGGCCAGGCAGAAAAAAAATAAAATGAATAAAATTACTGGGAAGAATATGAATATTTAGATAACAGAAGGATTCAGTCTGGCATAGAAAAAAAACCCAAAGTAACAGAAATAATGAGATGTGGTCAGCTCACAAAGGATACTGAATATAAGACTAAAAAGTAGTATAGTGTTTGAAATCAACTATCTAAGACGTTTGAGTAAGAACAGCATGATCAGTTACCTTACTCTGTGGGAGGGAGTAGGTAGTTACCACTACAGAGTGTGGTAGTTAAAGCTTGAACTAAAATCAGACAGCTTAAAATTTTAGCTCTGCCATTTACTAGCTGCATGGTCTTGGCAAGATACTTAACTCACTGGGCCTCCATTTCACTTATAAAATATGGATAATGACAGTATCTAACTTAAAGGTTATTTGAATTTAATGATATAATGCACTTAGAAATAGTGGGCCCATAGTAAGTGCTTAATAAATACGAGGCATTATCATCATCACCATCATTAGGCATGAGTCAAGACTGCTCTAATAGCAACATATAACAAATATTAGCAAGGGAAAAGGCATGGAGAAAGAAAAGACTGGCTAGAAGCCTACTATGATATCAAAGCAATCGTGGTGGGAATGGAGGAAGGAATACAAGAGATACATTAGACACAAAACTGACATGACTTGGCAACAGATTGGATGTGGTCACCACAGAGATCAAATCAAAGGTGAGTCTCAGAATTTCAGCTTGGGTAAATAGAAGAATTCATCCATTCCTTCAGATCACATTTTCAGAGTAACTGCCACGTGCTAGGTGTTGATATAAAGGCAGAGTCCCAGAACATTAGAGAAGTAGTACAGAAACTGGCTTGATAAGAGGCTCCCACCTCAAAAAAAAAAAAAAAAAAAGGCCAGGTGCGGTGGCTCACACCTGTAATCCCAGCACTTTGGGAGGCCGAGGTGGGCGGATCACCTGAGGTCAGGAGTTCGAGACCACCCATGGTTAACATGGTGAAACCCCGTCTCTACTAAAAATACAAAAAATTAGCTAGACGTGATGGCGGGTGCCTGTAATCCCAGCTACTTGGGAGGCTGAGGCAGGAGAACCGCTTGAGCCCGAGAAGCAGAGGTTGCAGTGAGCCAAGATCAAGCCATTGCACTCCAGCCTGGGCAACAAGAGCGAGTTCCGCCTCAAAAAAAAAAAAAAAAAAAAGAAGAAGAAGAATAGAGGTTTCACCTCAGACACCCTGAGCTCCAAATGTCTACCAGATATCTAAGTAGAAATGTTCAGTGATCAGCAGAGACAAGAAGCAGGACTGGGCTCTAGAGAGAGCAGAGCCAGAGAGGGAGAAGAGGCCTCTAAAATGACAAGGCTGAAGTAACCAAGTATGAAAATAATAAAGTAGACTAAAAAGTAGAATGAAATAAGAGGGAAAAAAGCTAAGAATGAATCTTTGGAAAACAGAAAAGACACAATAAGACAGAGAAGGAGAAATAAGAAAACATTGTCATTGAGGAAAAGCAATGACCTTGCAGAAAGGAGGTGGCAATGGTGCAAAATAACTGAAGAGAAACATGGGGGTGAGGCCCATTACAAACATGTCGAGTGTAATGACCAAAAGATTCCTGGTGACCTCTGACAATAGCACAGGAAAGCAGCAAGGGCCAAATATTTGACTGCAGGGGATATTAGAAACCAGAGGCTAGGCCAAGCGCAGTGGCCCACGCCTGTAATCCTAGCACTTTAGGAGGACAAGGTGAGTGGACCACTTGAGGCCAGGAGTTTGAGACCAGCCTGGACAACATGGTGAGACCCCGCCTCTACTCAAAATACAAAAATTAGCCGGGTGTGGGGGCACATGACTGTAATCCCAGCTACTTGGGACGTTGAGGCCGAAGAATCACTTGAACCCAGGAGGCAGAGGTTGCAGTGAGCTGAGATCCATTGCACTCCAGCCTAGGCAACACAGCGAGATTCTGTCTCAAAAAAATAAAAATAAAAATAAAGAAACCAGAGGGCATAAAGCCTAGACACAGACATGACAGGACAAGACATTAAGGGAGCTTCAGATCAGAAGACCCAAATGCACCTCTTCCCTTTACATATGAAAGAAACCTGGAGTAATAAACTCCGAAACTTACATAGAGCACTGAAGTTTACACAGAACTTTCATATACAATAATTTAT